ATCAGCTAACTTCATTATGTCGCTTTCAGCTAACTTCATCATGTCACTTTTTGGCTGTTGGTGTGCGCGCGCATCGTAAATATTTTACTCTCACATTTTTTTCCAAACGTCCCAAAAGAAGTATAACTTCAAAAGTACTATGTGTTTGGGAATGGGATTTAATTGAAAAAAATATTTTTAGTTTTATTTAAAAAATCAACTAAACTAGTGTTTGTCCTGTGGTTGAAATTCGACCAAAATCATTTTTTTTACAACACTAAAGCTCGTCAATAGCTACTAAAGGAAAAATAAGAAAATCGGTTGACAATCAGAGACGAAAAAGAACTGTTTTGTCTTTGCCTATTTATATACAGATTAGGTAGTTATTTCAAATTTTAGGTGTTTTTTATAGTGCAACACCACATTGTTATTATATTTTAAGTAAGACTATACGCGACAGACACATATCGGTTACATTATCATAATAATTAACCGCGTCCCCTTGTCCTCCTGTACCTGTGAGTATGTGGCCTACATTTTGGCTATATTTAGTTCGTAGTATTATTAGCCATGTGAACGCTCCACACTCTGTTTACGTGATTGACTGGGCCTGCGTAACATGTCGATATCGAAGATTTTTAACGTGTTATTTTAAGTTTACTCATAATGTTTTACTGAAAATATTCTTAAGAAGTGTGTCATGATTTATCTTACCGATGTAATATGTATTAGAGGAATATTTCGGTCACTTTTCAAGTAAGAACATACAAGTGTGTTTAAAAAAAACCAATAAAGTTATCAATTACAAATATATACAGTTGTTTTCAAAAGATTTCGTAATTATTATTTTCATTCAGTAAACATAGGTTATTGTCTCTTCTTTACTATATAACATTGATTTTCAACTCATTAGTTTGAATTTTAAAATTTGGACGTACGAGTTTTTCAGAATACGGTCTATTTATATACCTATAGTATTTTATGGTATAGTAGGTATATGCGATACTTTGGCAAACTGTGAACAAGTCTTCATTTTTTTAACAAAAAAGCTTTGTCCAAAGAGGGGTCTCTTTAAGGATTTTATAGTAGTGATAGCAGTGCGCTACCAAAGAGAGCACGTTCGTTTCATAAATTATTAATTTTTCAATAAACTTGCAATAAATATGGAGAAAGTTAAACCTAACGGAAGAGCTACATATGTATATGAGCAAAACAATTTATTAAAGGAATATTTTAACAATTTATAGTAAGTAGCATTATGAAAAGGTCTTAAAGTAACAAGGTACATAAAGTCGAGGTATATTTATGTATGGCATAAACAGAGTGTTAAAGTCGCAGGAAATATAAATAATTAGTGACGTATACAACGACACGTGTTATCGCTCGCCTCTCCGAGTTTCGAGATGATTCAAATGATCCAATGATAATGCGACTTAAACTAATTAATAGCGACATGTGGTAAGCCCTTATTATAACAAATGCTAAATCTAAAATCTACTGTTTATAGCCTCTTGAGGCCTTGCCTTATGAAATTTGGCACGCTTTTGCTCTGCGGCATGGCAAAAATAGGCCATAATAAACCAATAGGATTTCCTATAGGATATAATCCTATGAAATTGTTGTGGTATTTTTATTTATGAAACCTATGAACAAAGAGACTGAAATGAAACTAAAGTATCCGCGCATATAAATCCATAAAATAATATATCGAGTGGTATATAAATTGATATCTTTTTATTCGAGGATAGCCTAATGTCTACATTTTTAATATTATAAAGAGGTAAAGTTTGTGATATTGTGAGTTTGTGACGTTGTAGGGGGTAATCTCTGGACCTACTGAACCGATTTAGATTACATTTGGTAAGAAGATAGTTTGAGACCCTAGGAAGGACATAGAATACTTTTTATTCCAGAAATCATCCCTTAAGGGGGTGAAAATAGGGATGACATTTTGAATGGGGAATCAAGCCAGGGACAAACCCGAGCGAAGTGAGGGTGAATCGCTTGTGTTATAATAAAAGCAAATAGTTATATACTTTTTCAATGTGTTGATGTTTTTCAAAGCGATCTTTTAACATGAAACTTAACTATACATTGATCGTACTAAACAATGATCGCTTACTGATAGAGTCCTGCAAATACAATGGTTATATGAAGGAAGGCTAAGAGAGCTCTCAGGCGTGAGAGATGTGCAACACGGTAAGATAGCGAAAACTATGATAATTGATCATCAAGCAATGTTTACGGTCATATATAATGTTTATTTAATATTAGTAATTTAGAAATACACATATTATTTGTCAAAAGCTCCACAAGCAATATTTAATAACCCCTATCCTGGGAAGAATCGCTGAAAGAAACTCAGCGCGCTGAGTTCTTTTTAACTCACTCGCTCTTTTTATATATAAAAATTAAAATATTCAACATTGAGATAGCCTAGAGGCAATCATATCATTTCCAAAGTGTGCTATCTTCTAGAAAATAGACATAAATTAAGTATAATAAGAGTAAAAATAAGCATGTGTGCTTTCTTTGCTTTCTTTGTCTATGAAACTAATAGGTACCCATTTTATTTAACCCAAGAATTGATTTTTAATTTATTTGGAATCACCTTGAGATATTGTTACCTATTCATTAAATAAAGAATTGTGGAAAACGATTTATTATAGACAGACATCGAGTAACAAATGTGTATGTACACAAAATATACAGATGTATGGAGTCTTTTTTTGAAATCGGTCAACATCACGTCGTTCAGCTATATACTACAAAATAATCTGCAGCTAAACATCACTTTCGCATTTATAATATTAGTCAATATTAAAACTAATTGTTATCGATCTATTCTAGTAAAATACATATTTTTATCAAAGTTTATAAAAGAAAGTGACAAAAAGTTAAAAGATATATATTGCATTTAACACATAATTACGTTGAATTTCAAGATATAGCGACTGGATTTACGAGTATGTACATCTATTTATGTATGTCGTACATACATACATAGATGTACATACATAAAATGAAAAGGTCCAAAATTAGACGCATAATAATAATTTTGTTGTCGTTTCTGCCTCTCGGTTCCTGTGTTCTGACAGTCCGTCTGTCATCACACCTCGTCCACGGTCACTGATCACGAGCCTGTGACATTTTGCGACACTCAAGAAGTAATAAGTACCGAAAAATAATGGCATCAACTTGAATAGATTTCCGCTCCGAAAATTTTGTCGCTATTATGTCATGGCGGTTACGAAAATGACAATGGTATAAACTACTTGCAGTGTTTAAATAGTATGAAGCAAAATTGTTGTTCATGTTTGTTTCTCTGCTTACTTATTTTACGTACGTAATAAATTCTCAAGTCTTGTTCTTACTAATCCAACATACAATCCATCTATTTTTTCTTCAAATGAATGTATATTCGATTTGAAATTCTTGCGTTTCATAGCCAATTTATTGACGAAGTTTATTATGAAATTAGAGACACTCGCGTTCACACAGAGATACCTACTCGGTGTATACACTGAGTGCACCGTGTATTGTGTCTTAGTGTAAAAGAGGCATTAGGAGCCTAGCAGTTTAAACATTAACTATGCGACGTGAGCTGAAGGCGAAAATAAGTCTATGCATTTATTATAGAGGTTTTGTTAAGTTTGGATTGAAATCTATACATGGAATAAAATTCTAAGTCGAATCTGTACATAAAAATTTATTGGAAAATCTTATTGAAATAGACATTATTATCGATACAGAGGCCGAATCTATAGTTTTAGAATTTTTGTCTGTCTGTCTGTCTCAGTTACCGCATCTCACAAAAACTACTGGAGGGATTTTGATGAAATTTGGTATGGTCATAGCTGGTTATCCGAGTCAACATAAAGGATACTTTTTATCGCGGGAAAATGTCTCATTTCTGAGAAAAAATACAAAAACTGCAATGTAAGTGTATACTAATATGTAAAACGTAAGAATTAGTTAAATTGGTCATCTGAACGCGTGCGAAGCCGCGGGCAATGCTAGTTATTGATAAGATTCAAAAAATTCTTTCACTAATAGGATGATACATTACCGCTCAGTGCTATAGACTACTTTTTATTCCGATAAAATATAAATACTGTCAGAAATCATAACAATTTTAATTGAATTCTGAGAAAAATGGCTGTTGAGTTGTTTTATCGGCTAGGTACTGTTAGGCACTAAGGATGCACCCGAGCGAAGCGTGAGCAAGTTGCTAGTTAATAATAAATACGAAAACGTGTTTGTTTGTTTGTTTTCAAGAAGCGACAGAGCAACAAATATTGTTGATTTTGTGGAGAAATAGTTTATGGGTTTTATGGGGAAGTTTTATCCCGTTAAGTATATCCTTATTTTTTCTTAGGATATTAGGTTATTGCAAGAAAATATCAATTAAGTTATTATAGAAGATATTATTATTAAATAAAGCTTTTATAGAAGAAATAGACTCGAGAGATCATATACCAGTATAGTGCTTGCTTTCTGAATCGTAGGTACGATCGTGTGACGAAATATTGATATCTATCAGTAGCAGTAGAGTACATTTCAAAGTTATTTTTTTCGTCTTCGAATAGTTGAGTTTCGTTTCAGCTATTTTTTAAACACTAAGCAAATATTTTTCAGATATTAATAGCGTATGTTCAATTAGCGTAATGATAAAAATAATCGAATTATTTTTATACTTTTTAATTAATTACATAAATAAATATTATTGTAAAATAAACATTCATGTCCCAAAATTACAATAAATATCAAATATAATTTCCGGACAATAGGTGCAATAAATCATATCGTACTATATAAGGTATGGTGGTCAGATAGTGTATAGGTCTTATTAATATACTATAACTTATCTGTTCATCCGTAATAAAACCTCACGGTCGATTATCATTTATAAAATTACGAATATCTATTATAAAATTACGGATTTATAAATTAACTTCACCGCCAATAGTAAATATATATTTTTTTTCAAAGATACAGTAATAAACTCAAATTAATCTTACCACAAAAAATGTAGAGAAATAGCGCAATCCTAAACTGGCACTGTATAACTATAAAGTTCTGGTCACCACAATTTTCATCCCATAAAAATGGTTATGTATATATAAAATTAAAATAAGGATGTTCGTGTGTATGGCCACCGTCCAGAGCGGCTGTTGGGAACGGACTGCGCGTACGTCGGCTTTTGACGTCACGACACCAAATATAGAGCCAGTAGCATTTTGAACGAATTTCCATCTAAAAACCATGCATTTTCCCTTTAATAAGATTTATTTTCCTATAAAACGTCTCATCGTTGGTGAAAAGTTGATGTTATTTTTGCCGGCGATTTTCTTCCACGCGCGTGTCTTAAAACGGCAACGGTAGCTTTATTTACTAGAGGATAGTAGCGTTCAAATGCGCCATATTCGTGTTGTGATTTTTTGAATATCTACATACGTACTTTATGGAGTAAGCACTAATAGAATGTAGAGCGACGGCAATTTGATATCGAGATTTTTACCCATATATTTTGTTTTACCACGATATAAATATTAATTTGAAATACATATTTTTTAAAGGAATAAAAAAGAAGTTTTTATTGTCCTAAAGTTTTCGATATAATATTTATTATATATAAATTAAAATGAATATTTCGTGAGCAGCGGAGCGGAGCAAGTAAAATGGATGACAGCGGTGGTGGCGCAAATGACTGGCATCGCCTACAATGCTGAAGGTCACGGGATCTATTCCCGCGCAGGGTTAATGTCTTTGTAGAAGTGCAGCGTGAAAAAAGAAGGAAACTAGATGAGACCGTAAAATGTTTCCACCACCTACATATTAATAGAAAGAATCCTTGACCAATAATATATAGGTACATGAAGTTTTTAAGTGAAATTATTTACGTGTACCAATAAGTAAAGATTAAGAAAATTAAGTTTTAAAAGAATATACATTCATAGTCAAGCAATTTTTTAGCCACTGTTCTCAAATGATTATACCGTTATACGTATAAGTGGCAGTTCCAAATATATATATATATATATATATATATATATATATATATACTAGCGGATCCGACAGACGTTGTCCTGTCTACACGTCTTTAATTTGAAAATTTCAAACTTTTTTTAATAATTTTTTTGATGAAAATTATTATTCAAATTGTGAACCTAAGCCATTCCCAGATCCCCTTGAACACACACAAAAAATTTCATCAAAATCGGTCCAGTCGTTTGAGAGAAGTTCAGTGACATACACACTCACAGAAGAATGATATATATAAAGATATATATATATATATATATATATATACATATTAAACTTTTGTAGGGTCTGCAGATGACTTGTCAGTCATGAAGTTGGCAAAGTGAATGTTTACGGAAGGTGTTTGATGCGAAACCCCTTTTGGGTGTAAGCCAATATAAAGTGCATTTCTGATAAAAGGAAGACACCACGTCTAGTGCAGGATTACAGCTGATTTCTTTGGAATATTTCTCTATAGCAATTGCGTATTCGTTGTTAAACAAATAACATTTTAATTTTCATTAGTTTGTTCATTTCATTCTATCATCATTTCTATCTTTAGTTTATAAGAAAGTAGAAGTTCATTAAGAAAGTTGAAGGTATACTATAGAGAACTTTAGGTGTAGTTTAAAATAAAATTACCTATTCGGATTTTTGGTTCCCGACGTTTCGAATGCTTTAGAGCAATCATGGTCATGGGAGAGACTAAGGTTTGAGAAGTCTCAAAGGATATGACCTATAAGAGCTGCATGTAAGAGTTATCGTAAGAGCAAGCTAAAATGTGTCTTATAAAAATACTATATAAAAAATATTATATAAGTATATATACACAATAAATACATACATACCAGTATATATGTTTGTTGGTAGCCTAAAAATATTTATATAGCTATATTTCCATTGGAATAAGTATGTTCATCTAATTTCAACATGAAATTAAATTAGTTGTAGGAATTTACGAAAGTTTCAAACTTTGGAAAACTTTACCGCAACCTAATTTTAGCCAAGACGGGAAACGCTTAAATTTATGTAACCACAAATGTCATTTTTATGAACCAGTATTAAACATAGCTTAAAAAGAAGCCTTTTGACGTCAAATCATTTGTAAACCAATGTATTTTCTCGACTCTATCTATTTATCTTCTCGCTACAAAGAATCTTACTTATAAAATCTATGAAGTGTTTTTTACAGTTTCCGATATAGCGGGAAAGCGGCCAAGTGCTATATTATTATTTTGGTCTGGACATTGACTTTCGTATTGCAAGCTGCGCCATGTGAGTTATTATTGCTGAACGTGAATACGTCTTGAAAATTTTTATTCCTTTTACAGTTCCTGAATCAATAAATATGAGATCAGATTGTTTAAAAACAAATTAAACATAAATTACTGTATAGCATGGGGCTTAAAGTTATAACGTTAAATATTTTTTGTTAAAATCATTTTTAACAGGTATTTGAGGACAGGGAGGAGCAATTTCAACAGTTTTTTTCAGTTTTAAGAAACAAAACATGCTTAAGGAATAATTAATGTTTGAGTGCTAGTAATAATTGATTTTTAGTTTTAGTCATATAATGTTTTTTAAAGGTATAAGCGACTACAAAATGTACTTTTAATTTTTAAAACCTATAGTCGGTGGTAGTCTGGTGGTAAAGCGCTCGCTTAGGAAACCGATTGAAACGGGTTCAAATCCCAGGTCTCGCACCTCTGATATTTTCATGTGCGAATCATTCCCAACATGCTTACCACTTGTCTTACAGTAAAGGAAAACATCGTGAAGAAAAATGCATGTCTGAGAGTACCTAGCAAGTTTTCGAAAGACATGTCTAGCCCGTCAACCCGCAATTGGCCAGCGTAGAGGATTATGACTTGATGCCGCCTCGTATTGAAAGCCTGCCCGTGCCCAGCAGTGGGAAGTTAAAAAAGGCTGAATACATTTAAGAGCTACTCCTAGCATTAAGCTAAAGAGTTAAAAGAATCGTTATTGTTTTGTTTTTGTGTTTTTCTTTTGTAAGTTTAATATTTTCTTTTTTTACTTGTACCAGACCAGTCCCCCCCCCCCTCAACGTGCGTTCACCTTATCGTGGTGGGGGGGCTCAGTAGTGTCCGGCAATCCAGCCGGGCACGAAGCCAAGAAACGCACAGGAAGGTGGCCCACTTCGGTGGGCGGTGGGAGGTGGCCTTCTTCGGTGGGCGGTGTACCATGCGGGTTGCTCCTGGTACTTCTCTGATAGCAGAGTGGACCTTGGAGCAACCCCATGGTTGTTGTGGTCTGCTTCGGCAGACCTGCCGTCGGGGCGTCGTAGTTGAATGCGTAAGCGATCCTTCGACGCCCCATTAAGACGGGGGAAGGTTTTGTTGGGTTTTAGTGGGTGTTACTGGCTTGGCCGGTGAGTCCCACAGCTCGTGCGTAAATGCATTTCCCAACGTTAAAAAAAAGACCAGTTAGTAACCTATGGCCAGCGATGTTGATATCATAATTATTTATTTAATTATATTAGTTGTTTAGATATTATCTTTATTGTGAGCACTGTTTGTAAATCCAAATAAATAAAAAAAACCCTTACAATTATTTCAAAAGTTATTAATACCCCTAGAGGACTTCCCTCTTGCATTCTTGATAAATTTATAGGTACATGTATATATAATAAAATTAAAACTGACTCGACTCTGTGCATTAAATATTTTTTGGAAAATCTAATTGAAATAGTAATGATTATAATCGATACAGAGGCCGAATCTATATTTTTTGTTGTTGTTGTCGTACTATTGTTTTTATAATTTTTGTCTGTCTGTCTGTCTAAGGACGCATCGCGAGAAAACCACTGGACAGATTTTGATGAAACTTTGATGATGATAGTCAACATATAGGATACTTTTTACCGCGGGAAAATATCTCATCTATCTATCTCTGAGAAATCGATATTATACGTCAAAACGTTAGGGATTAACGCTAGGGACGAACCTGAGCGGAGTGATGGTGAGTCGCAAATATATACTGAGATACATATCACTCTAAGACTTACTTTAACTTATTTAAGAAAAATCATGAAAATTGGTTCACGACTGGCAAGGATATGTGGAACTTGCACAATAATAGTCTGTCTTTAAGATTTTATTTACACACGTCTTTCAAGTTTGGCGTAAAATTTGATATTAAAATTATTACTTGGAAGTGTTGAACATAATTTGTGATCTGTGTAAAGTGTAACTGTTGAATAAACTCCATTAAAACGCCAAATTAATCAATTTGATGCTCATGTTTTGAAGTCGTGGCAGCTGGACACAGTCGCGGTAATGACATTCGGATTATTCACGCTTTAAGAAAACGTATTTAGCTTGAAAAAATAATAATATTTTCTTATTTTTACTTTTGTAGTAATAAAATATTATATATATTTATTATTTTCAAGCGTGCTAAAGCAACACAAGAAAAGACGCCCTGGTTTCAACTAGATTGAAAATGACACACATCCAAAAACGAAAACTGTATAGCTTTTTCTAAGCTTTTTATAGTATTCCAGGTTTTGATACGTAAATTGCATGGAGTCGAAATCTAGCATATAGGTACGTTTCTAAATTTCAATGTAAGCACGCCGTACTATTTACATAGCTACTTACTATTAAAACCTTTGAGCTAAGGCTTATTTGATCCCATAACAATAGAGCTAGCAGTCAAAAGTTACTGTTCTCGATTAAATTAAAAAATGTTTGATTTTTAATAATATTTAACTAACCTCTTTGATTACCACCTTTCCCGAGGGTTTTTCAGTGACGTAGCCCTGCATGCCGGCCATGAGCACGGTCGCGCCCAGGAACTTGTTGAGGAGAGCGCGCGCCTCTGTGTCCGCGCTACTGTCGCCTTCCTCTATCACTGTTCAGCAATAATTGTTTGATTAATATTACATTTATGCAAACGTAAGTAACTGTAGGAAATGAAATCAACAAAAAATACTTTTTAGTTAGTCTTTTTTAAATTATTATACGTGTCTTTGGATTTTCTGAACCAATTCAAATTAAAATCTCTCTCTTTTAGTCATAAAATTCAATCTTTTTATGTCCATTATTAAATAAAACTATCTTTTCGGATTATTTCGCGGATTTATTTTGATTTTTGGTTCCGAATTTTCGTTTCGAATGCTTTACAGCATCCATGGTCACGGGAAAGACTGAGGTGTTACTTGTCTGGAAGGTATAGTTGTTACAGACAGCCTACCCACAATTAACAAAATGAAAATTGCACCAATTACATTACAATATTTTTTAACTTTAAACATTTTTATAATTTTAATTATAATTGAATATGGAATATTATTTAATTAATTTTTGCTATTATTTTTATAATTATTACAATTTTAAAAATATTAATTAGTAATCTATATTTAGTGTTGCCATTATTATATTTATAACCATAAAGAATAATATAAAATATAGTATTAATTATTTAAGCCATATAATTGTTCTGTGTAATTTAAAAGAGTTAAAATTAATTAAGGATAATAATTTTAATTTAGTTTGCTATTATTTAAAACAACTTACTAAGCAACACTATTAATATATACTTTTACAAATAAAAAATGAAAAATATTAATCTGATAAGCTGTCATTCTGATTTACACAGTATGAACTTACTACATCTACCTGTCTGTTATGTTTATATTTATTATTTGATTTTATTATATTAATAACAGGATCCCATGACGATGGTTAGAACCCAGCCATCTTCCCTATTGAAATTTGGATGTTTTTTAATTTCTATGGCTTCTCGAATCATTCTAGGGCGATATCGGTTTTCTTTCGCCAGGATTTGAGGTCATTCGAAACGAATATAATGGCTCATTTTGTTAATTGTGGGTAGGCTGTCTGTAACAATTATACCTTCAAGACATGTAACACCTCAGTCTCTCCCGTGACCATGGATGCTGTAAAGCATTCGAAACGTCGGGAACCAAAAAAAACCGCGAAATAATCCGAAAAGATAGTTTTATTTAATAATGTCAAACATTCGCGTAAATCTAAGAAAGTATTATACTTTTTATGTCCATATTGGGAATGTACCTATTATTCCTATTTTTAATGTGAGGGCAATTAATTGCGGATTTGCAGACTTCACACATCTTTCAATAAGCATGTGGTACCTTACATGTTGAAAATAATATTTATATACGAAAATCGCAGAGGTGCTATATCCGAGGTTAGAACTCACTTCACTACGTTTCCAACCCGAGCATGCTCCCAATAAGCTACTACAGTTTCGTGGCATTGCTAGATTCTCATAACATTGTTACGCTAAAGAAGTTTTACACTCGTAACGATACATAATATCATTAATTCATTTACAGATTAGGGAAATTATACAATTATTAGTATATGAATAGAATGAAAACTCCACATTACATGTGTAAGTAATTTAGATTTTAGAACTGGTTAGAACTTACATTGCTAGATATATTCGCATTGGATCGCTGCCATGAAATAAACAAATTCGTTGTACTAATTCTCGTTAATATTAATTTAAAAATGTTAGCGAAATGTAAATTTTGTATCTGAACCTAAACACACACGTAATATCAAAAATATCTCAAAAACATCACTACACGGAAATAAAATATGAATTATCGCGTTTAAAGAGTTCATTTTTGGAGTAAATAAAATGTAGTAATTTTTTCGCTTATTTCGATTATGCTATAGGGACTTTTTTATATTTAGATTAATATTTTAGATTTCGATATCATAATTTGATACTTTATTAGATTTACGCGAATATTTGACGTTTTAAATCGCGGATGTAAAGACTTCCCGAGACCATAATTGCTTTAAGCATTCGAAATATCGGAAAATCAAAATATATCCGCGAAATAATTCGAAAAGATAGTTTTATGTAGGTATGAGTTTTAAAGAAATAATATAATTACCTATATCAGCATTTTTCATTCTAGTTAAAATGTCCTGTACCCCGGTGACCTTAGTGGAGCTGTCTAGGAAGGATCGCTCTTGACCACGCGTGTGTCCGGACCGGGTGGTGGTGGTCGTGGTTGTTTTTACGCCATCGTCGGTCTCTTCTGTTGTTGTGGTTGTCACCACTTCTTCATCTGATCCCAGGCTGTGCTCGCTGTCTGTGCGCGTCAGACCTGGGAAAGGAATTAATATACTTCATTATTTATCTAAACGTATGTAACTATATACTAGACTTATGTTTTTTTAGTAGGTTTCCGACTTTAATTGAAGCTATTATGATTTCTAACAGTGAACGATTTTATTGGAATTAAAAATAGCCAATAGCACTTAGCGGTAATGTGAAAAAAAATCTATTAGTGAAAATAAAACTTACAAATTTCCGCATTTATTACTAGTAGTTCAATTATATCTCACCAGCATGAGTGCTGAAGAGTCACTGGAGACACTGTCTTTCATTGTGGAGGTGCGCAGAATGAGGCCGGCCTTTGGATATACGTGGCGTTCACTCTTTGATGTTTCACCTTATAAAATAATTGAGTTTAAGCTTGATAAGTATAATATGAGGGTGCGGGTTCGATTCCAACACGAGCATTGGTGAGGTATTCGATATTATTCAGTTACTTTCGCTTATTAATTTGTATTTCAGGGATTTTCATTAGAAAATTTTCATTTTCTCGAGGCATAAGACTCGTAGGTTTAAAGGCTCACGTAATGAATTATTTTCTTTGCTTAGTGTCCATATTGGAATGTGAGTGAAAATGTGAATAGCTTATTAGAATTCATAATGCATAATGAATACGTAATTAATTAATACTTAATGTAGTTAAAATTAGAACAGAAACATGAAAAGAGGATTGAAAATTAAGAGTAGATGCTAACGTGATAACAAAAAAGCAAATACATCCTTCACTTAATGAATAGAACCTATTAATAAAAATTTATACAATAAAAGCCCAAAGAATACAATGGAAATAATGGAATAAAAGAATATAAGAATATAATGGAAGTATAATGACAATATTATTTCATTATATTTACGTATTTAACGTGCACATGAGTGTAGTAGGTACTTACTTGCACTTTTAATGTACTTCTCAGTAAGTGATTTCACGGAACTCTGTCTCACCGCCTTTCTGTCTTCTCTCTTTTCATTTCTTTCCATCTTTTCTTTTTCTCTCCTCTCTAACTCAACTCTTTTTTCTTTTTCAATTTGTATTCTATTGCTCTGTTTCACACTTGCCTTCTCAGACTTTATTTCTTTTGAGCTGTGCTTTTCAAATTCGTCTGCCTTGTTGTGATGTCTATCTTCCTGTACATATCTTTCGTTTTCTACTTGTGATATCTCCTTCTGTACGAAGTCATCATTTGTGTCAAGATTGCTGGATGTTATTTTGCTTTCAATAACTCGGCGCTCGTTGTGTGTGAATTGGTCTAAAACCGCCCGTTCCTCTTTCTGCATGATATATTAAAAATAATCTTAAAATATTATAATCATAAGAACGGGAGTAAGTTACTCCATTTAACGCAAAAGAAAATTATACGATACTAGTGACTTAACCTCGAGTTGCTCGGGGGCGTCCCTAGGTGCATTTTGTGTTTATATGTAATACTATACCTAAACATACAGATAGTGCCAGTTTATGACACATTTTATTACTAACAGTAGCTTATGCGTTACTGCAGATCGTGTCTATATAGTCTATCTGTGCAGTAAATTGCACTTAACCAAATCCGTCCAGCGGCTTCAACGTAAGGAGCAAAAAAACATACATATATGTACATACAAACTTTTGCATTGTTTTTTCTTTATATATTGATACTTATATTTTATTTAAAATTGTTAACATAATCGCTTTCCTGTTTGACGTTAGTTCGCGTGTAACAAATTGTAAATATATTAAGCGTCATTTGTGTGTAGATATTAAGACTGACGCCATATTAATCCCTGTTTAAAATTAGTAACGTTTTACTAAGATCAAAATTTATTCTTATACCTTATCAATGAAATGCCTATTATTTTTTAAAAAACAGCGAAAATCTAAGAAAAAACTAAATTCTAATAACAGTTAAAAGAATTAAATATAATAATAAGTTATAAGGAAAAATAAAATCGCACTTGATGTAATGACAGTGCTATGACATTGCTATAAAATATCTGTAGGAGCTTACATTATGAACTTCGCTTAAAGTAGTGCCGGTGTCGCCTCCAAACTTTTTCGTAGTGGTTATGGCAGCCAGACCATGAATTCTCGATGGTCTCTCTCCTTGAGTTTGAAGTAACTTTTCCAAGTCTTCGGGCTCTGTGGAGTAGGCCGTCACGGAGACCGTCCCCTCCGGCTCACCGCCGTTTCGCGAGTGGAACTCTTGACGAATGACTGTTCCTTTCACTACGATATTACCAATAAAAATGTTAGCCACTCATTTATATAAACTAGTATTGTTATCGTGTATGCGTCACTAATAGATTCTTATTACAATTTTTTGGTCACTAGTATATAGTTTGGATTAATTGCAGTTTAATATAAACTTACTTGTATAATGACTATTCAACAAAGATTTAATTGAGAGCCGAACTTCACGACTCACATAAATTTTATTAAGTAGGTTATTCAGCTGTGTAAATATTTATAATACGAATAAATAATGACATCATCACACAATTATTATAAAGTATACACACCTTGATAGTTAGCTCCATTTCTTAGCGCTTTGATACCAAAAAGTGGTCTTCCATCAGCGTCCAGAGGCCCGGGACCGTAACTAGATGTAATCACATCGATAGGCTTCGAAATCACTTTGGAAGGGCTCACAGCGCGGTATTTAGGTTTCTCAGGTTCCACTTTCTTTGTAGTGAAGGTGCGAGTCTCAGAAGTCTTCTTTAAGTTCCTGTTCATGACCCAAGTTGGTTTTTCTTCTTGTTTCGGCTTCTGTGGTAATTTTTTCTCAATATCAAATACTGTTTTTATGATTGTTTCTTTTTTAGCTTGAATTTTAGAAGTGTCAGATTTTTGGCGAATTAATTCAGGACTGAGTGATCGTTGCGGGCTTCGTTTACGATCCGGACTGCGCGGAGCTCGTTCAGGACCGTGTATTGTACGCTTGGGGGAGATTTGTCGCTGAAGTGTACGAAGCTTTTCTTGTTGTTGTGGTCTATTTTCGGTCAGCTTTACAGGTGATGGAGATCTTCCTCCATTAATATGAGTAACTTCAAATGTATCCTGTGACGCAGTTCGTTCCGAAGTCTTTTTGGATGAAATTGTTGAAACTTTTGTTTCCACAGTGTGAAGAACTTCAGATTTTTTTGTTTTTTGCTCATCCACATGGCTCTTTTTTATTTCTATTTTTTTGTCACTATCCTTAAGCCCCACTTTTTTCATATAAGCGGAAGCGTACTCATTGAAGCGATTCGATTTAGGTTTTGTTGCAGATGTTTTCGTTGGTGACATAGGTCTTTTTTTTTCAGGACTGGCATGACGTGTTGGACTCCTGGATTTAGTTGGCATTTTGGTAGACATTTTTTCAGGGCTATGTGGCCTGGGGAACTTTTCGTTATCATTTAGATAAGTTTCTTTACCATGTCCATTCAATACATGTTTATTTTCCAGTCCTTTGGGCTCTGATGGTAAAGTTGTATGTGGTGAAGATTTTATATTGCGTGTGGGAGAGAAAGCCTTGTGAGGAGTAGTTTTTAAATGACGGTCAGGAGATACAGTTTTTTGTGGCGCAACTTTAGCTCTCTCAGGTGATTTATGATGGCGGTCAGGTGACCTTAATTTTGTAGTTTTAGAGACAGATTGTTTTACTTTTAAAGTATTAGATGTATCAACTTGTTCTTTTTCTATTTTTTTCTTCGCTACTCTTATTTGTGCTCTTATTCTTCGCCTCTGCTCATAACCTACGACCTTTTCCAACTGAAATAAGATAAAAATTTTCATTTATTAAAATTTATATAAAGTTCTAGCGGCCCACCCTCGCTTCGTTCTAGTTCACCTTTAGAAAAACAAAAACAAGTCTGTCCCACGTGAACCGTACATTTTTCCGGGATAAAAAGTAGCTTGTGCGTTATTCCGATGTATGAGCTATATTATTGTAAAGTTTACTTAAAGTCCATTCATAAAAGTAGTTTTAGCGTGAAAAAGTAACAAACATCTATACATCCAGACATCCAGATAGCCATACATCCGCACAAACTTTTGCATTTATAATATTAGTATATAATAATAATAATATAATAATACATATAATAATATAATAATACGTATTATAATACAATAGATTATAATAATATCATCCAGAACGTTTGAGGAAAGAATCAGGACAGATGTTGGAAATTTCAAGAGGAGTTAATTCAAGAAAAATTATGAAGATCAAGGATAAACTATACGCAAAATTATAATATACAGAATGAAATAGAACATAAAAGTAGAGAAGAAATACTGAAGCAAAGAATAAAGGTTCTGACAGACAGAATAAGACGATATGAAGAGATAAATAGTAGAAAACAACAGAATAAAATGTTTACAGAAGACGAACATAGATTATATAGAAGTTTAGACAGTAAGAAAGAAAATATAGACGTTAAAATACCGAGCAAGCACAACACTGAGGAGTTTTGGACAAACATTTTATCACAACCTGTTGAATACAATCATCAAGCAGAATGGATTTTAGACATGGAACAATCTAATAATAATATCACCACGAGCTCATCCGAAGAAATAACTACTGAACAGATTAAACACTCTTTAAGTAAAATGTTAATTTGGAAGGCGCCAGGACAAGATAAAGTTCAGAACTACTACCTTAAGTATTTTACCAAGATGCACGATCACCTCGCAATGCTATATACGAGAGTTCTGAAAGGGGAAGAACCATTAGAAGACTGGCTAACAACAGGCAAGGTTATTTTAATACCAAACAATGAGGACACCGAAAATCCAAAGAACTGGCGCCCAATCGCATGTTTACCGAGTATGTACAAACTCCTCACTTCCATATTATCCGACCAGTTGTATACTCACTGTCTAGCAAACAATATTATGGCCCCAGAGCAAAGAGGATGTCGACGCGGGGCTCGGGGATGCAAAGATCATTTGATGCTAAACAAGGCAATATTGGAGGATGCACACGAAGCTCAAAAGAACTTGAGCATGGGATGGATAGACTATCAGAAGGCGTTTGATAGTATATCGCATGAGTGGTTGCCTTGCGTGTTGGACATTTATAGGTGCCCGCCGGTTATTAAGAGTTTCCTTGAAAGAGCAATGCTCAAATGGAAAGTTATAATGACGGCTAAGGGCTCTACAGACTCTTATACTACTGAACCGATTTATGTTAGGCGGGGAATCTTTCAGGGAGATTCGTTATCTCCATTGTTATTCTGCTTGGCACTTAATTCGATTTCTACTATTCTAGGGAAATATCAAAAAAAAGGATATCATCTGAAGGACAGCGTATGGATTAATCACTTAGTATACATGGACGACCATGTATGCAAACAATAGCACTAACTTAAAAATCTTACTAGATAGTGTCGAAATTATTACTACAGATATAGGCATATCGTTCGGGCTGGATAAATGTAACATACGTCATATAACTGCAGGATATAGAAACCACACTGATGGCAACGAACATATACTACTGAACGGAAACACCTTTAAGCAACTAAAATTAGACCAAACATACAAATATTTAGGGATTAACGAATCTGGGAAGATCAATCATAGCGATATTAGGGACCAATTAACAAAAGAATATTTTAGGAGAGTTAAAAAGATATCGAATTCTTATTTAAATGCGCGAAATTTAATTAAAGGGATTAATGCTGTACCTGTTTTGATGTACTCATTTGGGATTATAAATTATAAAAATAGCGATATAAAACGGATCGATGTTAAGACGCATAAGTTGATAGCAATCAAGAAAGCTCATCAGCAAAAGGCGGATGTGGACAGAATCTATTTACCCATAGTAATGGGTGGCAGGGAATTAATTAATTTAGAAAATTTGTATAAAGCTCATATTTTGAAACATATACAATATTTAGTACAGAAAAATGATTACCTAATAGAAGCAATAGCACAACACGATCAGAATAGAGGAAAATATTCAATTTACAAAGAACCAGAAGAAATAGAAAAAGAACTGAGGCTAGCGCCGGGCAAAGATTACACCAAAATAGAAATTAAAAATAGCATAATAAAGAAGCAGAATGAAGCCTGGAGAAACAAGAACCTTCATGGGCAATTCCCTAAAAAGGTCCTCGACCTTGGCAATGTGGATAAAGAGCGTACCTTTAAATGGCTGAAGAACCAACCTATCTCGCCAACATTGGAATCGTCTCTATTTGCTATACAAGATCAGGCAGTGCTAACGCGCCAGCACGTACGCGACATATTGAAGAGAAATACAGATGGCAAATGCCGCTTGTGCGCAAATAAAGACGAAACCGTTCAACATCTTCTAGCAGGATGTAAAAAACTCGCCGGGACATATTTTGTAAAGAGACACAATAACTTAGTTCAATATGTTTTCTGGTGCTTGGCTAAGAAGAACAAAATTGAAGTCAACAAGATATGATGGAAAGAAGAACTCAAGCAACCGACTCTGAAAGAAAATAGTACAGCTAAATTAATATGGGAAATCCCTGTGCAAACTGACGTTACAATCACTCACAACAGACCAGACCTTATTTACATAGATAAACAAAATAACCATACTTAACTTATTGATATCTCGGTGCCATCTGATTATAACATTGGAGCAAAAGAAATAGAAAAAATTAGCAAATATCACCCGCTTAAAGTCGAACTCTCCAGGCTATGGAACACCACCGTCACAACCATCCCGATTGTAGTATGAGCCACTGGTGCAGTGACGAAGAACCTTAAGCGGTATTGTGACAAATTAGATGCAAACATTAACATCCACATACTACAAAAACAAGCAGCATTACACTCTTCCACCATAATTAGTAAAGTACTTGGAGATACCGTCTTCATAACACAATCATCGCAAGCACATCAACAACACACAGCGCAATCAAACACAACCAACGTCCACATTCATTCATCCACCAGTCAACCATTCATCCACATCTCAATCAACGACACAACCATCATCCGATCAGCACCCATCTGCAAGTCTTTCATCCATTTCTGACTCTCATACTCAAGAATCGGCCGGTCCATCACAACCTTACTTACAACATTAGTTTCATGTTTTAAATTTTAAATAGAACAGGATCAATTAATAACACTAGGTATCCTTTTTCCTGAGGGTCTCGGGACGGGATAGTTAGATAATCCGTAAAGTCGTGAAAACGTCGAGAAATTTAATATAATATCATCCGAAAATAATATATACATATGTTCGATATACCCTTACCATTTGTTCTAGGAGGTCCAAATCAAATATATCTTCGATGCAGGGCTGATGATGTTCTACGCTACTGCGGCGACGTTCATTCGTAGGAGTTGATCTGTCAGTACTTGTTCTGCGAAGTTCGACACCAAATTTTCCGCTTCCACGTCTGCTACTTACTTCTGTCTCCTCTACGATCTTAGTTTCTTCCTTAATTTGACTAGTTTTTGTAGGTCGCTGATAACCTGGAATTTTATCCTGAGACTTTTCAGATCCTAGAAGCTTTTGTTTGGAAATATCGTTGCTATGTACAGTAGAAGCTACATCATTTAATTGGTGACATGGAGATTTTGCTTTAATAACTTCAGGAGATAGTGGTCTTAAGCGCGCTGGACTAGCTCGATGGGGTTTTTCTTCACGAATATGGCGCTGATCATGAATTTCTGTTACAGCTTCATTTAATGTTTCTTTTTTTGTTGTAGTCAGTGTGGAGAGATTGATAATTTCTTTTTCTTTAGCCGTGTTATTTCCTTTTTCTGCAGGATGTACATTTGTAGGATTTAGTTTTGGTGGTTTTTTCATTCCAATATTATCTGTTAATTTAGATGATTTGGAGGGAGTCTCGGCAGTTTTATGTGTACTAGTAGTTGTAGAAGCAATAGTTTCAAACAATGCTTTAGCTTTCTTCACTGCATCGCTACTTCGTAATGTTGTTATTTTTACAGAAGGTTTCTCAGTAGGTTTGATATTAGGGCTGATGTAATCCTTTACTTTTGCATTAGATGAAACTGTTTCTTTGGTTAAAGAACTTCGTCTATTCTCGTTATCATATTTCTTACTAGACAATTTAGTGTCATTCACAGAATCTTCATTGTGTGATTTTGTTACTGTATCATCCATATTTTCTACTATCTTTCTCATTATTTTTTCATGTTGTTCTTTAATTTTCTTTTCTTTCTCATCATCTTCATATGTTTCATTCAAAAATTGTTCTGCCGTTTTAACAAATTTATTTACTTTGTCAGAAACGCTCAATAAACAATCATCGCTTTTTAATGTGTCATCTACATCGTTAAAATCAGGACGCTCAATTTTTTGTGTAGGTTTAGGTTTTGTAGTTTTAACGTTTTCTGCTGTTTCTATAAATAAATGAGCTTTATCGTTTACGCTAAGTTTTGTGTAGTCATCTTGGTATGTTGTATGTTTGTCAAATTCTTCTACTATATTCCGAGAAGGACTTTTATTATCTTTTGTATGTATAGGTCCTTTAGCAAATTTATTAACTTTTTCAGATACCGATAATAAGCAGTCATCTGATTTTAGATTTTCATCCATAAAGTCAGAATGAGCTTTTCTTTCAGTTTCCTTAAAGCGTTCCGTTGTATCATTAGTAACATTTTCATTTTTATGGGCAAACTTTGATACTTTATCATTGACACTGAGAAGTCTTTCATCCGCCTCTATATATTCCTCTAAATCGGTTTTTTTAGTAAATAATTCGTCATCTTCACTTATCTCCACAATATCGTCCACAATAGACTCAGCTTCATGAATAGTTTGATAAGTTCGTTTTTGATAATCATCATCTGGTTCATTTACTTCATCTGGAAATCTCGGAGTTCCAACATCTTCTGTGAAACCTACTGGAGTTGGACAAATACGATCTGGGGAATTCTCGCGCGAAGATTTTGCTTGTTGAACATCGATAATTACGTCATCGTCATCTGTTGATGTGTTTAACGCAGTAGCTGATTTAGGTTTGCTTGTTGGTAATTTTATTTGTGATTCTTTAGGTAAAGATTTTTGTATTTTTGAGCTTGTAAGTGTTTGTCTTGTTGTTTTTCCAGTTGATATGTCGTTCACCTGAATTTCAGGCTTAGATTTAATTCTTTGAGGTGAAGTTTGTTTAGACTTAAGAGTGATATCACTTACAGTACGCATCACCTTTGTATTGTCCTTTCTTAGATTATCCTTCACTTTAGGCACGGGAATCTTTTTGAGATCTTGCTCACTAGACTTATTAAATGCACTCTGAGTCTTATTTAACGAAAGCTTAGTTGTTGTAGATTTCTGTGTTGAATGACTAGGTTGCTTGTTAATATTTGTAGTACCCTTTTTAACGTCAACAACAGTGGGTTTTTCCAGTTTCGCTTGAGGTATTGTCCCTGGCGAAGGCTTGCGAATATGAGAAGTTATTGTGTCTCTTGGTTTAATACCACAAACTTTTGGAATCGAAGGAGATTGTGGACGTTCAATTGGTGAAACCGGTTTCTTAGGAGATGTACTTCTTGCTGGCAGCGGAGATATGTTGGAAACCTTTTTTATTGGCGATACATTACGCGATGGAGGTTTACTTGATATTTTTTGATCTTTGGGCTTATCATTTTTTTGATTTTCTACATAATCAACATCTTCCGTAATAATGTTTGTAGTTGATTTTTCGGTATGTTTTTTAGTTTTATTTTCGAGAGTTTTGTCCGATTTAGAAGTAATTTCTAAATCACGAAGAGCTGTGGTAGACTTAGAAGGACTTTTATCACGAATAGAAGGTTTCTCTATACGTTCTGGTGAAAGCTTTCGTAAAGATTTTTGAACTCTATCTAGTACTTCTTTTTCGTTTTCAGACGCTATAAATTCAGAAGTTAAAATAGAGGTCCTGTTTGAATGATAATCATCAACTTGTTTTGTTGCAGAAGCTTTAACAGGAAGCTTGTGAGTTGGGGTTATTGGCGATTTCGATTTTGGAAACGATATTTCATCGTTAATGTTATCATCGCTATCCTCTATTACACTTGTAGTACTGTGATTAATTTCGTACTCAGATGGTTTATCTCCTTTAGGCTTTGTATGTTTGTTAATAGAAATCGTAGTTTTTGGTTTAGTTTTAGTATCGACACCTTTATCATCATTTACTAATTGTTTACTTACTGGACTCTCAGGATGCTTAATTACTTCCGTAGGTTTCGACTGCTTAATTGGATGGCGTATATTATCTGGTACATCGAACTTACCATAAATATTTTGCTCTTCAATTTTCTTTTCAGGGCTTGATCTAAGATACTTAGATTTTTCATGTAATTTTTCAGAAACTTCCTTTTTAATCGACTCTTTTGTATCAAAAGTGGTTGTTTTGATAGAAGTGATTGATTCCTGTTTTTCCCCAGTGATGTCCTGAAGCTTAGTAGGAGATGTTTCTCTTGTAGGAATTTTGCTTATCTTACGGTTATCACAAATATTGTTAAGATTAACGTTTTTTCCACTATCATCTTCACATTCATAAGATGAAAATTTGTCAACATTTGTTATCTCAGTTTCTTCTGTAACATTTTTATTAAATAATGAGTTTTTCTTTGGCGAAGGGCTACGGCAAGGAGATACACTAGGTGAGCTCAGTTCGGATGCTTGCTTGTTAGTGGTTTCTTCGGATTCTCTTGTATCTGTCTCTATCATACCTAAAATTTTTCGGCATCTTTCTTCATATGTTTCACGTCTTTCAAATGGAGGCTTAGGTTTAACAGGCTTGTCGCTTTGTTTAATGGGGTGATCTTGTATAACTACTTTGTGGTCTGTAAATTCTTTAGTTTCGACATTAGGTGAAACAAGAAAATTTGATGGTGGTTTTTCGGTTGGGGACATCTGATTACTTACTGTTTTTTTTAGAGAACTTTTTCTAGGTAGTGTTTCTTTTGTGGGATGTTTTTCTGGCGAAGGTGATCTACAAGGTATCTTTGATGAAGATTGATTGTTTACACTTTTTTCTTCTTCATTCTGGTTATATTTTGTATTTTGTGCATAAAAATCTTTATTATCCAAATCTGTAATGATTGTTTTAGTTTGAGAAGCTGGGAAATATTCAAAACCACAAGATGTTGTCGGGGAACTTTGTCCCGATGAAGTTGGAATTTCAGTACTTTTTGGTTTTCTTGTTGGGCTTGTTGAAGGCGTTACTAACTGTCTTGGACGTTCCTTTAGAGTATGTTTATTAATCTCTTCAAAGTTCTTTTCTTGGTTAATAAAATCAGACGCTTGTTTATATTTAATTTCTTTTGATAATACTTTAGAAGGCGAAACACTATTCCTAGGAGATTTATTTAAGAGTGTGTGAGATGGGGTTTGATCAGTTTTTGGCTTGTCCGGTTGTATTTTCTTCTCTGGAATATCTTGCTTATCTTCGAAACGTCCATGGTGCTGCAGTTTTTTATCGAAAGTTCCAAATTTAGTTGGCGATGCTGCCCTTTTTGGCGACGTTTGTCTTTCTGTAGCCTCATCATTAATTAACGTAACATGATTCTGTTTCAATGTATGATCGCTAAAGTTATCAGTAGTTTCAATATGTTTAGACGTAGCATGTATAACAGTATCCATAGTGGTTATTTGTTTTCCGCTAATTTTATCAACTTTGGTCGCTTTTTGATTATTTTTAACTGGCGAAGGCTTGCGATTACGTAGGGGGGCTCGATCTTCCGTAGGACTGTAGGTAGTTTCAGGTAAGGTATCTCCATTTTTAAGCGTCTTATCAGGTTTACCAGTATCTTGAATTATAGGTTTTGAGGGAATCGAAGATTTTTTGTTGGGTGATAACTCTTTTTCTTCATATAATTTTTCTTTGTTGAAAATATGTCTTTTAGGAGATGGAGACTTTTCAGGACTTGGTGACTTGCTTTTATAAGTTGTAAATTCATGACGTAGCTCAGAAGTAGTTGGCCTTTGTCTCGTAGGAGACGGGCTCTTACTGTGTCGTAGCAAGTCCTTCGGTCTTGAAGAATTATCTGGTTTAGTTATATTTTGGGCTAAAATTCTTGTAGGTGAACTACGAGATTTTGAAATCTGTTCAGGTTCTTGCAGAGTGTCATTAATATTTGATATATCTTCATTAGGTCTTTTCGGCCAACAGGAAGGGCTTTCATTGGAGCATTTTTCTGGACTAGGTGAACGGCTTTTAAGATATTGGTCATTATCCAAAGAATCCAAAGAGTCAGAAACTTTCAACTTACCGGGAGCTGAAGTCGGTTCGTTAGTTTCTGTTTCTATTGTTTGACGATTGTTACTTACAGAGTACATTTTTGTTTCTTCATCGATAAATTTGTAATGATCTTCTTTGATTTTATGCACTGTTCTATCATAACCTCGACGTTCTGGACTTTTAGAAGGTTTTTCAAATGCATTTATAGTACTCTCAGAATATTTTTGTGTAGGTGATGGATTATCAGTAAACTTAGGTTTGCTGGAAGCAGTGGGTTTCATATAACCTGGTAGACAATCATCAGTTGCTTTTGCTTCTTGCGGTAATTTTCGTACAGGTGATGGTTCCTTGTACTGTCTTTGTATAGGTTCTGTTGCGCTTTTAGTTGGTGATGATGGTTTCTGATGTCTAGTTTTACGATCAGGACTAAGGCTTTGTTTTCTTGGCATTTCGTTGACAGGGTTTGTTTTAGTAGGCGAAAAATCAGGTGTATAATATTTAACAGGTCGCTCATCCATTACAGGCACTTCAGAGTTTTTAAAATCAGATTTTAGAAATTTTTGTGGTGAAGAGTCACGCGGACCAGTAACATTTTGTGTGGGTGGAATAGTTTGATTGGTAGGTTCTCTCTCAGCATTCAAATATGGTCTTTGAGGAGACGTAGATTTTTCTTTGGGTTTAAAAGTTGACTTTGATGTATTAGAATCCGCTCGTGGTGTGTCATTACGTTGTGAATTTTGACTTGGACTGGAACTTCGATTAGGATAGTATTTTTCTGGGCTTGTACTGGACCTTGATGGATGGCAATCTTGTGTTTTTCTATCGGGACTAGTGGATTTTTTTGTTCTCTCCACCACTGATGAAGATGAATTTGTACTCGAATATTTCTCAGAAATTATGTGAGTAGGAGAAAGTCTGTCTATTTTGTTTGGACTGTTACCGCGACTAGAGGGCTTCCTGTAGGTTTTATCCGGGCTAACGCTGCTTCTTAAGGAAGAAGTACTCGATTTAAAAGTTTTACTTCCTGGAGATGAAGCTCTTGTAGATGGTCGAGACGGTGTGTCCGAACGAAGCGTGCTAGCCCAGGCTTGGTGCGCAGGACTCCAGTCGTTGCTAATTTTTTTCTGTGAAAAATCAGTTTGGTATGTTGATTGATATTGGTCAGATTTTTTTTCAATGACAACATTCTCTCGGATTATATTGTGAGTTTTTTGTTCAACATTATTATCAGAATGATTCTTATTGACGGTATTATATGTGCGATTTTTGATATCTTGTACAGATTCTGTTTTGTTCATAGTATGATCAGTATAGTCTTCGACATTTTTTACAGAATGAGTTTTCTTTACAGTGCTATGCATGCGTTCGTTTACGTCTTGTACAGACTGCATCTCGCTCATATTTCTACGTTGAGAGTAGTCTTCATTTTGGGATGTGTATACCTCATGGTGGGTACTCCTAATCTTGTCATTACTTTCTTGTTTTCGTTCAGTTGAATTGTCAATGTTAGCGTCATACTTATAATTATCTTTTTTATTTATCAAAGAGTCAATATCCTTGTTTCTTTTAAAATCATAGTCGTCAATTATCTTCTGGGAATCCACTATATTATTTGTGTTATCTTCAAAATGTTCATGAACAATGTTTGAAGTTGACTCATCAACATGTGTTCGTTTCTGTGATGAAGAATAGGACGAAGACTTATTTTCAGACCTGACTTGATGAGAATGTTCTTCAGAATGGCTAGTCTGAACCGCAGGAGCACGAAACTCACGACGAGTACTAGTCACCCTTGTTCCATCAGGAAGACACCTAGTCTCCACTATAACTTTTGTATTTTCATCTGGATAATCTATCTTTCGTGATATTAAATCGCCTTGATCGAAATCAGTCCTCAAATTTTGTTCGTAGTTAGTTGTTTTCGTATATTCATTCGATGTTATTTTTTCGTTGCGGTTAGTATCAAAGGATTTTTGTGAAGATAGATCGTAGTCGCCCGTAATTTTATAAGGTACTGTTTCTCGTTTAGATGAAATCTGTTCGAATTTAGATGAAGAAGTCGATGAACTTTTTGTTGACGAAAAATGTGTGCCGTCATCAGTTTTTCGTACAACTTCTTCATGTGCTGCAGTATCAGAAACGTTTTCGTTGCGTTTGAGGCTAGTGTTACCATCATCATACTCAGTGACAGCTTGTTTGGTGTGATCCACAGCTGCGAACTGGCCATGACCACCATCGACATCGTACCGGCCCTCAATATTAGCGTGAACAGACTTCACATGAGTGTGGCCATCGTCAGTTGTTCTATTCTCAGATTCAACGTTCCATCCAGCATTAGAAAGCTCCTTTAGATCTGAAATAATTTTTGATAATTAAATATCGGAATATAAGAACTTAGTATTGTTACTGGTTAATAGTATTAGTTCGGTTAGAGTAATCGGTGGCAGGAGGCAGTAGGAACCTTGGCCGCGGTAAGTGAACTCCTTGGGGGGGGAGCCCGCGTCTCGAACTTCCTTGCTCTTCATCGATTGGAAGCTCTGGTCAGCGAATGATTTCACATGACCTTGCGTTGATGAAAACTCACAACCTGTCAGAAGGGGCCAATAGAGCTCATGATTACAAATACCATAAATAAAATACCATAAATAGAGCTCACAATTATAAATACTGTACAATTAATGCCATAATAACTTTTAAATTTAAAGTAACAACGAAATAAATATTTCTGGACGTTTCCTCTTTTTTATTTAAGATTTTCTATCCTTTTATTGGGACTTTATGTAATTTTCAAAATGTAATAAGGAAATGATCAATTTTTTTTCTACCGATGAATGACTGATGATGAGAAATGATAGTATTACTGCTTTTTTATTTAAATATGGTATTGAAACTTATTGTACCTTTAGCTTCAGCGCCAGGTTCTGGCGAGTAAAGGTTGCGCAGACGCTCTTCTCTCAGTCTATACATGTGCGCCCGAATTTCTTTTTTCCGAGAAAAATCTTCAGTCTGCTGCCACTGGAAATTAAAAAACAACGAATCATAAAGCGAAATATTAAATATTAGCGAAACAACCTCGCTTCGCTCGGCTTCGTCCATGGCTTGATTCCCCATACAAACTTTCATTCCCATTTTTACCCCCTTAAGGGATGATTTCTGGAATAAAAAGAATCCTATGTCCTTTCCAGGGTCTCAAACTATCATCTTCTTACCAAATTTCATCTAAATCGATACAGTAGACCAGAGATAACACCCTACAACCTCGCAAACTCACAAACTTTACTTCGTTATATATTAGTATAGATAGATTTAAATGACGTAGTAATCGAAAAATATTATTAATTGCTCCCATTTATTTAAAGAAGCAGGTACATATTATGTACGTTGCGGCTGATGCAGTAAAAAGGAGAATTACAAGCTTACCATCCGACGCAGCACGTCTTCGTCACGAATCAGAGACACGTCTCCTTCAGACATACTGAAACCAAAGAAAACATTAATGTAGGGCTATAATTTATTAATCATCATTAATTCATGAAATTACTTTTTTTTCGTCGGTCGAGATGAATATTTATAGTTGCAAAAAAGAGTTTCAATTATGTATTTAGAGCGCATATGCTACGAACTGGAAAGTAGCCTGGACGTTCTCCGGTCCAAAAACATCTTTATACAAAATACCACATCAATCTATTGAGTGACATAATGACAAACCAATAAAAACACTTTCATATTTATAATAGTAAGAATATGGATAAATATAATTATGCAGGAAATAAAGTTACTGTACATAATTATACATATTTTTCATGAACTCAATGAGTGGTTATTACATGACTATTTACGTTATTTGCGGTCAGTGTTTAATTGAGACGAGTTAGCGTCGGGTGCAATGGTCTATATACGCCTGATTTATTACAGATTAATGGAACAATCAGCGATACATATTACATGTTATATACGAGTATAAGTGTTAACATTAAATGATAACCAGTGTCAGGTACATCCTGATGTTTTAACATAAAAGCGGGCCATGGACACCTCCAGGTAAATTTCAAAGAAATACTGTAACGCCGGCGTAACCGCGGTCGTTGAGGGATTAATACTATTACGATGTAAGTCGACGACACTACGCACTAGACAATTAATTACCAATTTTCAACCGACTTCCTCAAAAAGGAGGAGGTGCTCAATTCGACTGTACTTTTTTATGTTAGTTACCTCAGAACTCCATCATTTATTAAGCCGATTTGGACAATTTTTGAGTTGTTTGAAAGTGCATACTTCCAGATTGGTCCCATTTAAATTTCAAAACAAAATACCACCCGTAAGGGTGGGAAAATAGTTAATGATGAATTTAACCTACTTCTAATTGTCATATTGACTTGAAACTTTGCAAGTGTTTCGATTTCCGTTGATAGTACAGTGGTTCGGTATTGTTGACCTGATCTGATGGTAAGGCCAGAAGGTGGATAGGTGGAACTCTTCAACGACTAATAGTAAATACTTTGAGTTCGGGCTTATTTTGTTTGATTTGACAAGCCTAACATGTTATAATAATTCTTACTTTGCTACTACTGTGTACACTAAAAAGGGAAAAATAAAATCTTTTTAACAAAAAAACGACTTCAAACAAAGGCACTAAAAAGTAAAAAATAACTGATTGGTAGTTTTTATTTACTATACATACCTAATCAAATATTTTCGAAGTCGGTGTGCTTTGCTTTGTATGGGCTGGATCAATTTCGAAAATATTTTATTAGGTATGTATTTAATAGGTAGGCTTCAATTATTAGCCAAAGCACACCGACTTCGAAAATATTTGATTAGGTATGTATAGTAAATGAAAACTACCAATCAGTTATTTTTTACCTTTTAGTGCTTTTGTTTGAAGTCGGTTTTTATTTTTTTGTTAAAAAGTTTTTATTTATCACAATAAGATAAATAATATAGAAAGAAATGCGTTACAAAACAGACTGACATATATGTAATTCTTTGTACATTTTTTTTTTTGTATAGATTAGTAATAGTTTGTGATTTATTATACTTGTATAAAGTTGCTATTCTTAATTTTGTAAAATCAAGCAAGTAGGATCACTACAAACTGAGCCAAACGTGTCGTCAATTATTTAATATTTACGTGTACATATTATTTAAAAATAAAGAACATTAAAGTGTATGTTCTTTGACTTTTTAGTCGCAACATTTCATATAACCTAAGCCTCCTAAGGAGTAAAGTAAGACGCTGCGAAAATATCTACTTGCTGTAGTAGGTATTTTGACACAATCATGTAATAGCTGTCACTCTCAATTAGTAACACTACCCCAAAAGGAATAACTTTTTATTGACAAGACATTCTAGGCGCTATTCGGCGACCATATGGCGATACCATATCGAAACGCCCTTGTCCCGATATACTGTATAAGGAGACGTACTTGCATATCTCTGACTCGTTTAAAACTTACAAGGATTTGTGGCAACTGTAGCCTGTTGCACAGCTTTTTTGGGTCAAAAATTGAAAATATATGTTCAAGACTAGTACATTATGAATTGCGTAAGTATTTATTGATATTACATCTCCGATATTTAAGTTCTGATTAGTTAAAATATACGTCAACGTGCTTTTGATAGTTTTATGACGTTTTGCTTAAATTTTGATTTTAGTTTTATGATAATAGTTTAAGTTTTGTGTTGATTATAGCATTTGTAAGTGAATATATACTATTTGGATAACTTTCATTGAAAGTAAATACATATACATACTAGCAGAACCCGCGGCTTCGCTCGTGCTAAAATTACAAAAAAAGCTCTAAAAAGGTAGTTTCATACAAAAGTTCATCCGCTATTTTACCCCCTTGTAGGATGAATTTCAAAAAATGCTAAAACACATATTTATTTAATTATATTGAAGAGTATTAATACCAAGTTTCAAGTAATTCTGATCATAAATATTTTTTTGGATTGTGTTATTACGTGTTTTCCCGCAAAAATAAGGTAACATCCCGCGGTTAAAAGTCTCCACACTAAAAATCACGCCAATCCGTCATTCCGTTTCCATGTGAAAGAAGGACAAACAAACAAAAAAACAAACACACACTTTCACATTTATAATTTAGTATGGAATGGATATATAAAAACATCGTAAAGTCTTATTTAAGTTTTAATTTATTTATTTACTCTTGATATTAAGAACTGCTTTTCAAAAATAATGTCCCTTAAAAATAATGGTGACGTCGTAAAATTAGTGACTTTACACATTCTAAATAATTATAATAACAACTAATATTGATATTGATAAATAACATATTATGCTGCTTATTCAGAGACAATAAACGATGCTTACATCAAACACAACAATTAAGACACAATGTTACATTGTTTCCACATACAAAATGTTTTTTTAAGATAATTAAAGATAAAAAAACTATAGAAAAGTAAACTTTTTAATACAAAAGACAAATCAATAAAGCGCCTACTTTAAAATAATAGCAACTCGACAACTTTACAAGATTCAAGGCTGGTCGTTTATATCACGTAAAGCGAACGTGTAAATTGAACGATCTTATCTAACAGTTACAGGTTCACTTCCCGCCTTTGATTGGTATTTACTGAATGCATCGTTATTTACGCGACAAATATATTCTATTATTCATAATTAGCCTTGTCCTCTGACACCCGCGCAAATGAATATCGCGAAATTTTTCCCCACACTAAAATACCATCCGTTAATACTTTCTTAGATTTACGCAATTATTTGACAATTTTATAGTTTTTTGACAATTGCGAAGATTCTAACGGGAAATTATTTAAAGCGTTTTCTAGGTCTTTTCCTCAAATTAGGTTTAAAGAACATAAAAAACAAAGTATCAACGACTGTGCTACTTTATAACTATTTATGTAGGTAACAAGTTAATAACAAATATTAGTTATTTAAACGTATTAACATTTAGCACGACAGGTAGCGACCGTCATCGATGTGTCAATCTTTCAAATTGCTGTGACAAAAAAGATGGATATTTTTACTAAATAAATAATACCTACTATTGATTAGTCTATGAATGACGGTTTGAAGTGTGATATTTGTTAGAAGTAAATAAATATTTTAAAGCGAACATGGATTTTTGGATACCAATACACTACAATTCATGTTTAAACTTACATATAAAAGAAATGCAGTGAATGAATTGTATCTCATAGAACCTTATTAGTTTAACTCCTTTAGTTCCAGTACAGACTAATGCCATTCACTGCCACCCTGTGCCATAGACCGAATGAAAACAACACTATAATATATTATAAATGCGATTTTTTATCTTTTTTTTATGTACAGGCGAAGGGACGAATCGTTTTTTTATAGAGACGTTTATAGATCAATCAGAGCGTGATGAAGCCTACTTTCTATCCCAGAATCTAATGATTACCGTAAGATTATACGTATGTGGCATACATTTACTGTATGACTTTAGTTAAGACCGAGATAACTAACTTCGGTAATTCACATATTTAGGTCACAAGACTCAACTACGTAATTTTACAACTCTAACAAGCAATAAATATAAATTAAACAAAAGACACTTTCCAATCTAATTGAGGCTAAATTATTGAAATGCTTTAACCCTAATTAAGTGTCGTCATCGGGAAGGCACTCCGTCTGCTGACGCACTGTGAAACACATGACTGTGTTACAAAATATTTAAAAAAAGAATTTTATGATGATACTCGCCTTCTCCTAACATCGCACCCGTAAAGCTTGATGTAATGTGGCGAAAAGTGCCCTATATATCTCTACCTACGATACTCTGTGCTCCATATCTCTATTCAAAAAAACCGCCAATTTCTTGACTTATTGCTGTTATGTGTGACAGCCGGTGGACTAATAACTAATAAGTCGCCAAATCTCGTAGACGTAGACTTCATTTTAACATTTATTGTATATATAATACAATAAAAACCGGCCAAGTGCGAGTCGGACTCGCACACGAAGGGTTCCGTACCATTATTTACAAAAACTGCAAAAAAATCACGTTTGTTGTATGGAAGCCCCTCTTAAATATTTGTTTTATTTTAAGTTAATTATTTATTTTTAAAGTGAAAATATAATTCAATATTCTTTGAATATTTCAAGCGTCTACCTGATACCGTTGTCAATATCGAGCAAAAACGACCAAAAAAATCACGTTTGTTGTATGGGAGCCCCCTTAATATCTATTTTATTCTCTTTTTTTGAATTTGATGTTATAGCGGCAACAGAAATACATAATATGTGAAAATATCAGCTGTCCAACTATCACGTTTCATGAGACAGGGACAGCGGAGTCTTAGTAATAGGGTCCCGTTTTACCCTTTGGGTACGGAACCCTAATAATAAAAAAAGTAATATATGAATTAATACTTTTTGCTTGTACACCAATAAAAAAAGTCTCTATACATATTATGTATTGTGTACTGCACACAGAATATTCATAAATACAAAACTTTT